GGTGGCACAAAAAGAACACAAAAGTGGTTTGTAGGTACATTTTCAGACATTCAATGAGGCTCAGAGGTGGCATGAGTACAATTAAATTCATAAATTAATGTGGAGATTAATGTTTTAAATAAAATTTTGAATACAGAAATATTAAATGATTTAAATAACTGCAATTATACCTAAAAATGAAACTGAAATCACCAGCAGATGGCGGCAAATCACTGAATCATTCATTCAATCGATTCGTTTGAACGCATAATTCATTCAGGAATGAAGCAAGTGACTGTCTTTATGAATGGGTAATCATGAATCAGTAACTCACTAGATTCGCTTAAAAACGCACTTTCATTCATGAATGAAACGCCGCTGTGTTTGCTTTTGTAGATGCGCGGCTGAGCTGTTACTATATATGGAACCATTTTCATTGATGAAATAGAGCAAAATCAGGCAGAACTTGTTCACTGAACTGTTGTATTAAATCAATATTAATAATTATTAAAATCTGTCACTCTCCTTATAATGCTACCTATCAGATTATGCTACCAACAAATCACCAGAACACCAGCAGAACAACAATGTGCTACATGTTTCTTTTCCCCTCATTTTTTCCAATTGACGGAAATCCGTCATAGCGACGGAAAACTTTCATCCCCGAGTAGTATTTACATCATACTGCACCACAGTAATATATTTCTGATCATTTCATTAATCTAACCCGAACTTATATTTTGACAGGTTGCCATGAGGAACTTCTGTAGGTCTATGTAAATGATAAGAAGATAGTTTTACTCCAATGAAACTGTCAAATGCTCATGAAGTGACTCTTAGAGGGAGTCAGAGCAGTTCTGGAGATGTTGTTCATGTATTTATGTCCTCATGTAGTGAGACGATCTGAAATCAGCGCGAGCGTCACACTTTGTATGTGTAGAAAACAACACCGCGCGTCTGTGCCATTTACATACACAGAGACACAGAACATGCTGGATCCATATTTAAATAGTATTTTGTGGCTTAATATTTACAGATACTAGTCCATATTGCGACTCTATTTAAGTGTACTGACCTACTTTTGATTAATTCATCCAAACTGACAAATTCCGTGACATTCCGCGTCATACAGTAAATTCCATTTATATGACTGAATTCCGCGATTCCATCCACGTTTTCCGCATCGCGGAAATCATAGATAATATTGAGGTGTTTTGCAACTTCATTGCAACGTTAGTGGATTGGGATCCATTGCAACTTAAGCAACATCTGCTGCTGCCTTACCTTTGAGAGACAACGTGATCACTGAAGCAGCTGCAGTAAGCAAGCGCTTTTGGAGTGAGAGTGAATTCCGCATTGATTGGTCAGACTCGTGACTCCCAACAAATCAGATGGGCGGTGGGCGGAGAATGCTTTAGGCCACAGAGTGGTGAGTTCTGACATGCTGCATCAGAGCCAAGTAGCGCATTTCAAAATTAAGTTATTTTATCGGCGTTTTGAAAATGACCGATACCGATAATCATAAAATGCTTAATATCGGCGGCGATAATCGGCCAGGCCGATAATCGGTCGACCCCTAGTTGGTACTACATTACTATATTATTGAAGATTAAAACTGACTGATTTGTTAAAATTACACTTAATGAAGTTTTAAAATAATAAAGTTACAATTACATAATATTTCTACTTTTTTTTCTAATATAAACATTTAAATGGTTGCTGTCATAAAAACTTGATGGATTTATTCAAACAAATTAAACATTGAAGAACAGTAAAATTTATAATGAATATGTTATATGGTGCATATATTGGTAACACTTTATTTGAAGGGGTGTGCATAAGACTGACATGACACCTTCATCATCATGATATGACACATGTCATGAATATGAAGGAGGTTTTATGCATGTTTATGACAACTGTCATTAAGTGTCATTAGCTCAGTTATGTCATTTTTAATGCAAATATGACATTATTTGACCTAACCCTACCCTAACCCTAGCCCTACCCTTACCCCTAACCATAGCCAATAACAAAGACATCTCAAACAATGTCATCTTTGCATTAAAAATTACATAACTGAGCGAATGACACTTAATGACAGTGGTCATAAACATGCATAAAAACCTTCATATTCATGACATGTGTCATGTCATGATTATGTAGGTGTCATGTTATGATTATGAAGGTGTCATGTCAGTCTTACGCACACCCCTTCAAGTAAAGTGTAACCCATATATTTAGCAAAATGCCCCTCTCTACAGTTTATTTTTCTATCTGATTAATGAATTTATGGTCACCGAATGTTTTTCTGAGGTAAATGTTACGTTACATAACATTTACATATTTACAAGCCATTATTGACGTCTTTGCATGGCTGAAACAATGATTGAGCAGAACATGACAGAATACGGATTGTAAAGTTGTACTCTCTTTTAACTTAGCTTCGGATGTTTATTCATGATTATTTTGTGCTGAAACTGGTATTAATGTGGAGGAGATGATCAGTTCACGTCTGTTGAACTGAGGCGCTACAGCGATCGGTCACTCCACATTAAACAGCACCAAAACGGCATTTATTGTTTGAATACTGCAATACAATGGACATAATTTAAAATCTGAGACTTTGTTTCATATTAAAAGTACCAAAGCACAATGCTTATTGTGATATATTGCATGGGAAGTGCCCTTCAAAATTCCGTCCATTAACTGAAAACAGGCTACACTAATCGATTTTTGGATTTAAGAATGCACATTGTTCCGTAAAAATGAGAATCGATTAATATCGAGATATCGATATTTTTTACCCAGCCCTACTAAAAAAGCATGGCAAAAAGTATGGTATTCTTTTCTTCAAGCAGCAGAAGATGAGGAAGAAGGGTCAGGTAAATGTTCTGAAAGCATGGCCCTTTCAAGTAAATGGGCTGGAAGAAACAACAAGTATCCCTGGACAGCACTCGAGTTTCCTTAAAAGCAACCCGAACAATTAAATGCATCAGCTGAAAAACACAACATGCCCAAGTTTACAGGAATCACAAACGGCTAAACGCAGGTTCTGATGACGTTCACAACCAGAACTTCACTAGAATTGACTTTGTATCACTTCCCGTGTATTAGCCAGCACCAACAAGATCACATGATGCAAGAATTTCCCTCTGGTCACATGACTCACACCCTCCCTTTTCTTGAACTGTTCCTGCCAGTGTGGAAACCATGGCAACGGCCGGCTCAAACCAGTTTGTGACATAGGCCTCGTTTTGCAAAGTCAGGCCGGGTTCAGGTGCAACAGAAAACACTTTGGACTTTTCTTCTTTTTTTCTAGCAGGGCAGTGTGCCACTCGAGGGGAAACTGGCATGCTGAGCAAGCACATATTTGAGTGTGGTCTTTGGGAAAAGTTGAGCATACGACAGTCGTGTTTGTAGAGTGTGACATCTTTCAACTCAACTTTCTACCCATCCCCCATCCCGCATGGCATCAGGCCACCTCCTTTGTTCTTTATCATGAGCTCCACTCCGGTTTATCACGACTTCTGTTTGTCTTTTACATTATTTACATGTATTCACAAACAAACCGTAACTGCCTTCAGTTTATCATGCAATAAGTTTAACATCCAATCAAACATTCTGAGACTAAGAGGCAAGGTATAGAACCACCATTTGAAAAAAAATGTTGTATTTCAAGATCAATTTGAAAGAATCATCGATTTAAAAGATTCACTTGACTAGCAACCACCCAGAACACCCCAGCAACCTGACAATAAACCACTAAGAACAGCTCAGGCCTAAGCAACCAAACTACAAATGCCTTGGGAAGTTTTATTTTAAAGATGCAAAACATATAGTTTTGTGTTTTTTCTACTACTATTGAGGCAATAGTAGAGAACGGAGAGAAAATAAAAAATGTCCATGTGTAATTATGACAAATAATAACACTTTACAGTACAGCTAAATTTAACATTAAAGTTAATTACTATGCATACTAATAAATTAAAGTTGCATAAAATAACAATTTCATGCATTATGAATGAACACTAAATAAACAATAATATATATTATATATATTTAGATTACACATATGCTATCTATTATGTATGCATTACACTGATATGCAAATCAGCATATTTGAATGATTTCTGAAGGATCGTGTGACACTAAAGACTGGAGTAATGATGCTGAAAATTCACCTTCACCATTACAAAAATAAAGAATATTTTAAAATATATCTAAATAGAAAACGGTTATTTAAAATTGCAAAAATTTCTCACAATAGCACTGTTCTTACTGCATTTTTGATCAAATTATATGCAGCCTTGGTGACTGTAGAGTTTTCACAAACAAACAAACAAAAAAACTTTTGAATGGGTCTGTATGTTTATGATTAATCTAGATTAATAAATGGTGCCAAAGTTTTTAGTTCATGGTACTTAATTAATGTTATTTAATTGAGCGCTACTGTAAAAAAAAAAAAATTTAATACATTTTAAAATGTAGATTTTTGTGGATGCAAACATCATCTCTCATACACTTCATCTTTTATCTGTGCAGCACTAACCTTCATCTGAAAGTTAGTGTGCATGCTTTGGTTCCTGCATGGTTTCTGATTTAATACATTCTAATTGTTTTATTTTTCAGAGTTGTTCATCAAAACCACCATTGAATTTAAGCTAAACTCGAATCGTACACATGGTATCTAACCAAAGCCTCAAGTTTTTAAAACCAGCAAAGCAAAAGCACCACCACAGTGAGCTCAAGCACTTCTCCTTTGCATCTACTTGATACCTTGTTGACTTTGCATTTAGCAGATGCTTTATATTCAGAGCTACTAGCACAAAGTCTCAGTGGAGCAAGGTGAGGTTAAGTGCCCTCAACACAAACATTAAAACGAACCGGCAGGACTAAGATCACGCTAATTCTCCAGTTCACAGGTCACTACTACCAAAGATCAACAATTAAGTTATTTAATTTAGAAGGAGGCTTGGGAATAAAAAAAAATATGCGTTTATGTTTAGCCTGTGACCTACCTCTTAGATGTGCTCATGTCCACAGGCTCGTCGCTGGTCTGCACCTCCACCTTGATGGTGGCCTTCACCTCCCCGGCCCGCAGGATGTTAGCCACCTTGTTGGCCTGTTCGCTTCTGGTCTTCAGTCCATCTACAGCTCCCAGCTCTCCGCTCTCCAGCTTGACCCTCTTCAAGTCAGCCTCCGAAGCAGGGGCATCTCGCTCCAGCGCCCGCTTTTGACTACGTGTCTGACGCACTGCGTCTTCTGACATCTTCTCACCTGTAAAACAATATCACTGAGTCAGGCATATTCAGGCAGATAGTCATATATATATATAAAATAGTTTTTTCTGGTTCTCGAATCTGATTGGCTGAGAGCTTTTTCCAGCGGTGCGATATTCTAGTGATAACAGAACTCCAACTGTTTCACTGTTTGTATCACTCCGCTTGCAGTAGCCTATTTCTCACAGCGAGTGTCATGGCAAATGCCCAAATCCGCTATAATTTTATAAATGATACTGTTTTTGTGTCACAATGTAGTTAAGAGGTTCTGACATCTTCTCACCTGTAAAACAATATCACTGAGTCAGGCATATTCAGGCAGATAGTCATATATATATATAAAATAGTTTTTTCTGGTTCTCGAATCTGATTGGCTGAGAGCTTTTTCCAGCGGTGCGATATTCTAGTGATAACAGAACTCCAACTGTTTCACTGTTTGTATCACTCCGCTTGCAGTAGCCTATTTCTCACAGCGAGTGTCATGGCAAACGCCCAAATCCGCTATAATTTTATAAATGATATTGTTTTTGTGTCACAGAATGTAGTTAAGAGTTTTTTTTTGGTGAGAATGTATGCCTCTACATCGTGCCTATGGCCGAATCACAGCCCGTGCTGATATACAGCCGTATCGCACTGCTATTTGAATGATATTTCTCATATATAGTTTAATTTGCCTTAATTGATAGACTTTGGAAATTATTCAAGGTAGAGATCCTGAACAGGTTTGTTTTAAGTGGCGTTCGTTCACACAGGATCATCTGAAGCCTGTAAAATCAAATTGTCTAAAACCGGTCAGATATATTGATCCATCACCAAGACAACATTATATTATATCAAGGACCCAGATTTTACTTTGGACATCAATTGGTAACCCGAAACTATATCAAAACTATTTATTGCACCAGAGTAAAAAAAAATAAAAAATGTATTATTATAATATTATTACACTTAGTGAATTTATAAAATAATATAAAACGATTATTACTATTAAAAAAAGAATACATTTTCTAAAAAATAGTAATGTTGTGAAGTGTTTGTTTATTGTACCAAAGCAAAGAAAGGTAAAATAAGTAGAATAAATTGTAAAATAATTATTTTAAAAATACAAATTTATTTTTTATTTTATTAAAATAAAATAATACTACTAAAATAACTTTTTAAAAAATCATGATTTGTTGTGATGTGCTGCCATTGCTTCTTTTGAACAACTCAAGACTTCTCTTTGTAGTTTGAGTGTTCAATTTCTAAATGTCTCCCAGCAGCCAATAACTCAACACACAAATTATTGCAGATGCCACAAACCATGTTTATCTCATAATTGTGTAGTTCTCTTTATAGTTTTTGAGGATGAGGGCATGCCATGCAATCAGTCCAAAGACGAATTTGCACCAATACGCCTATTCTGTAGAGTTTGTTCGAACACGTGGCCTTCACGTCAACGACACGACAAAAGATTCTCCTCCCTTATAAAAAAAATCGAAACGAGTTCGCATTTGACATAACCGTTTCAGAACAGATTTGTGCCCCTTTTTTGGGTCACGACCCACTGGTTGAGAACTACAGGTATATGATGAACGCACCTGTACAGGAAAGAAATATTTTTAAAGCCACAGATAGGCACTTCTTAAAAGACCATCCACAGAAGCAAAGTCCACAAACAGGAAATACAATGAAGAAGCTTAAACTGTGCCAGGCTGTGAGCTTTAAAACAGCCACTTACAGGAAGCAGATCCATCATTTGGATACATCAAGGCACATACGAGACATGCCGACCTACCTGTCTTACATATGATATCAGCCATCTGATAGCAAGACAGCTGACTCAACACCCAGGCCTGCTCTCATCTGCCATGACATCACTGGGGCTCCACATGACCCTTCCCAAGATTCCATGGGACACATAAAGCATTTCCCCTGAAAACCAGTTTGAACCGGTCGGTGGACGCAGCCGAGAGACTGAAGCAGGTTTTTAACCCCTTGAGTGACTGACTGGCAGCGAATGCGGCCACACAGACGCAGGAGTTTTGCCAGTGGGGGGAAGGGCCGCACGCATTCCAAAACAAGTCTTTCAGAGATGAGGAGGAAGTGTCCGCCCCTTTGTTGCTCGCAAAATAACAACCGCCACAGTGGTCTCAACAATAAAAGGTAGTCGAACCAACTGACTAGACAATAGTAGCGTATATGATCATGCTGATCCAAACAAGCTTATACGAATTGCAGGATTTGAGAACCTCGATTCTGAAGAGAAAGTTTCAGTGTCTTTTCACTGTTTGATCCACTTTCCCTTTTGTTTGGGATTGTCAGATAAGGATTTTTAGAGACTGCACTCACAACTCAATATTTTACAGTAGAAACATATATTCATCTTTTTTTTATTTTTTATTATGACTAAGGCTTTTCCAAACCTAGAAACCACAGATTCTGAAGAGCATCAAATCTAAGTTGTAAATAACAAAGATTATTGGAATAGGTTTTGCAAGAGAATACTATGTTTTTCAGCTTCAAAACTTTGTTTAATTCAATGTTGTTTTTTGTAACTGTTTGTGAAATTGACAAACACTTTGAGTGAAAATGGTTTCAAAGTAAATCAAACACCAACTATTTTTTGGTGTAAAGGCTTGTGCACACCGGGATGATTATCGCGCGTGATTATCGCCAAGGTTTAACGCCTCGTCGTGACTAAACAAAGGGCGCCTATGTGACTGTGCACACTGAAGCGCAAAACGGCAGGCGTAAAAGCGTCATTTAAAAAAAAAAAATGCCTCGGGCTCGTTTTTTTTGGTTTGACACGCCGCGTTAAAAACTGGCCGACCAATGAGATTGGCGCTTTTGTTCACGTCCCTGGAGCTGCTGAAGTTACAATAAAACACGACTTGGTAGCGCTCAAGCACACTTTGATACCTAAGAACAGCGTTGCCATGCCAGCGGAATTGGGCTACTTTAACACTGTTGCCGCGGGTTGTTTTTCATGTCCGCGAGTTGAAGTGACTCCAATAACATGATATTTATCCCCTGAAATGCGATTGAAACGCGATTGGGCTAGTTTTGAGTAGCGATTGGGCAGTAACCCTAGCGACTTAAAGGCTTGTTCACACCGGCACGAATATTGTGCGCGATTATCGCCGACGTTTAACGCCTTGTGACTAAACAAAGGGCACCAATGTGAGTGTGCACACCGACAGCAGGCGTAAAAGCGTCATTTAAAAAAAAAAAATGCCTCGGGCTCGTTTTTTTTGGTTTGACACGCCGCGTTAAAAACTGGCCGACCAATGAGATTGGCGCTTTTGTTCACGTTCCTGGAGCTGCTGAAGTTACAGTAAAACACGACTTGGTGGCGCTCAAGCACACTTTGATACCTAAGAACAGCATTGCCATGCCAGCGGAATTGGGCTACTTTAACACTGGGTTGTTTTTCATGTCCGCGAGTTGAAGTGACTCCAATAACATGATATTTATCCCCTGAAATGCGATTGAAACGCGATTGGGCTAGTTTTGAGTAGCGATTGGGCAGTAACCCTGCCTAACGACAAAGAGGAAGTAAGTAGACGAAGAAGATGCATCAAGGCAAGATGAATGTAGAGCTGCTGATCTCATTGGTGTCTGAACACAAAGAGCTTTATGACAAATGCGACAGCGACTACAAAAATCTCGATAAGAGGGAGTTGTTATGGAGAGGAATTGCAGGTCAAATAGGATTCGATGTGTACCGGCGTATTTCTGTTCTTCATTAAGCGCCATCTAATGTCAGGGAGTGAATTTGTACGCTCACTCGGCTCATCGTCAGTGAAAATCGCTTGGGTATGAACACAAAGACGCGTCGAAAAACATCTTGAAAAACGCTGGCGATAAGCGCGCGCGATAATCGTCCCGGTGTGCACGAGGCTTAACAAAACACTAATTTTTCTTGATGTATCAACTTTAAATCACTATTTAATTATCAATTGTTTGCCCTGGCCATTAATCAAACAATTATTGAATAATCTTAAAATTAAATCATAATAAACCTGTAGTAAAATGACTATAACATAAGTAAATGACATTTACACACAATGCCATGGTGGTTCTCGAGTAAAACTTGAATAAACGGCCACAACTTACATAAAACGTTTTCATTGCACTAAAAAAGGTCACCTGTATTTTCTTCGAGCAACTGTATTTATATCATTGTTTAATTGGTGACTTCAGCTCGGATACATTAAATTGATCAAAAGTGACAAAGACATTCCGGTTCCAAAAGATTTCCATTTTAAATAAATCTGATCAGCAGAATCCTGAAAAAAAAGGTATCAAGGTTTCCACAAAAACATTAAGCAGAACAACTGTTTTTAACATTTTATTATTGATATTAGTGCTGGGCGGTATACCGGTTCATACCGAATACCGGTGTTTATTTTTGTTATGATATGAATTTTTAAAATACCGCAATACCGGTGTATGTCGCTTAAACAACGTTCGGAACGCGACACCGTCTGAGAGGGGTCCCTTTTCACTGTTGCACTGTGGTGAGGGAACAGCTGTATGTGTTACTAAGCGTGAAAGTTCCGAAACTGAAGCTGTAGAACTAATAGAACGTGATGACACAGAAGAACTCATCCACAATATCCACATTGACTGCCACAATTATCCACCACCCCCTGCCATCAGCTCCCGCATCTCACACACACGAGCGCGACTTTAGCACTAGATTTAGCAACTTTCAGACCCTTTTAGCGGATTTATTCCATAGAATATTCATTCTGACAAACCTAGTGACTTTTTTGGATAAACCTTAGCTATGGTTCAGTTGGAAGATTTCGCCAGCGCTGTCCCGCGAACGCGAGGTCTGACTTTCCCGGAGAAGTGTCACCTCTCTCGTCGTCTGTTCTGTGCAGTGAGCAGCAGAGAAGCAGCGCTTTCAGTTGGCCGCATCGCAGCTGACTCGTCAATAAATGAGTACAAAACACAGTTTCCTAGCACCTGTTGCTTAGGGATGTAACGATTACCAGTTTTACGATAAAT